GACACCACTAATCATCCCACAAAAGATGATTAGGCTGCTAAGTAAAATGTAAGAGAAGTTCAGGGAAGATGGGGCTTTTTGCATAAAAAACGTCATTTTTCGACCCCCATTTGACCCCCCGGGGCAAAATCAAAATTCCGAAACCTTACTGCACATCTACATGACACCACCAATCATCCCCCAAAAGGTGATTAGGCTGCTGAGTTAAATGTAGAAGGAGTTCAGGGAAGACGGGACTTTTTGCACAAAAAACGTCATTTTTCGACCCCCATTTGACCCCCCGGGGCAAAATCAAAATTCCGAAACCTTACTGCACATCTACATGACACCACCAACCATCTCTTAAAAGATGATTAAGCTACTGTGTAAAATGTAGGAGGAGTTCAGGGAAGAAAAGTGTGACAGACGGACGGACGGACGGACGGACGGACATGAGTAACAACAATATACCCGAACTTTCTATAGAAAGTGCGGGTATAATGACATTGAGCTGCATAAATTATACCTCTATATTTTTATGGTTTATTTTTCAATTTATTCTACATATTCAGTATGAACATTATTGACAAATTGTGGGTTGGATGTTATTGTCTAGTTCATGTGTAAAAGAAGTAAATCTCATGACTTCATTCTTCCATTAACATTGAGCACGATGAATTTAGTCGTTGTGGAAGTGCCACGCTGTATCAAGGTACGTGTATCGTACGGGCTATATTAACCAATGAAATTGTACTTAGTCAATTGTAGCTACAAATGTATAAATCTATCTTGATTTTTTGTTTCCTTCCAGTCTATTTTTACAAATTTGGGACAAGTGCCAGATGCATTTTATATTACATACTTTGTAAATAAATAAATAAAGGTTTTTGACGGGAAACTATTTTTTCACGGCATAGGACGTTACTTCCTGGGGTTATAGAAGTTTATTTTACTTTAATTTTGAAAACTGAAAAAAATGGGTCCACCACCTCAAATCTGCTGCCGTTAATTGTGTTGGATGGGGCATAAAGTTAGTTGCTTAGTTTTAGGATGGTGTATTTTGTATATAATGTGTTTTTCTTGGTGTCTGAATACCCTCATTAAAATAAAAATAAAAGTTCGCTGAAATTAGCTCGATTAAAAATGTCATATTTCCTTTATATAAACATGATAAAAAGAGTAAAGCAGCAAAACTCGCCATCTTGGATTTCAGGGAGTGCCTCGGTTCACACTTGATTTTAATCAATATCTACATTTTTCCAACCGGTGTCAGATGAGATTTAGCTTCAGAAATGATTGAAGAAGGCCTTTCAAAATTCTGCCGATTTTTACTTGCAGTAAACCCAAAACGTCCTCTATACCAAGTACAGAAATCGAAAGCAACGGAAGTGCCGATTTCTAATTATGGAAAATGTACAGGCGTCCCGGAATTACACCGAACATCTAGAGAGGTCAGAAACCGCGCCAAACTTGTTCTCTCTAGATTGTCCGTAAATATTAAGTTCGAAACCTTTTTCTAGTTCGGACTATTGGGCCTTCGGACTAGTGTGATAAGGTGCCTAGGAGGCGTACTGTAGATTCTTTATTTTTTGCGAGTACTTTTTATCGCGAACTGGTTCTTAAACGTCTAATCACGAGAATTATAATTAGCGAATGGACGGTTGATCAATAGACTTTACATAGATTTCAGCACTATAAAAATAAAAGGGAGTAATATTTTTTTCGCGAGTGATGCTTCTGGCGAAATTACGCGGAAATTAATTCCTCGCGTTTAATTAGGAATCTACGTGCCTGATGATTTTTAACAAATGTAATATAAAATTGAAATGAAAGGGGTTTTAATGCAGTTTTTCCAAACAAAACATAAAAAAGCCATCACTAATTCTCCTGGTATCCGTCAGAATGTATTCAAAAACAGAATCAAGAAGGCAATATTACTAAATAGTACTATCACTAAGATCTAATTTGACAGTTTTATAGTAGAGGCAAGGTCAGATTTAACCTTTTGCATAAAAAAGATACTACTGAAAAGGACCTAGAATATGATATTACCGAATTGGCATAAATAATTCAACTCGAATGGATATTGGCTAATCTGAATTTTCTCTACTTTAGAAGAAGTATATTAGCTAGTGCTAGTTAATTGTAGCGCGGCCTCAATATATACAACACATAGAGCTACTTTTAATTTCAACTTTGTTACAAGTGTATTTTCAAGATTCGATTATTAGTATTAACAAAAATCCTTTTCATGTATCGACACGATATATTCCAATAAACTTTTGTTATACCCTTATAAATATCATTCTATATATTTATTACTAATAAAAAGTCCAACAAAAGAAATGTTTTTTACATCGGTCTAACAATCACTATTGACCGGTCCTACATAAGAATTATTAGACCGCAACGTCACTGTTACGTCACAGGTAGTTTTCGTTCAATTTCGGCGTCACGGAAATAACCGAAGCTGAGTGCTGCAAGAGTTGTCGTTTGCTACAAAGATGGCGTCACACAGTAGGTTCTCGAATACAGACGAGAGTGAAATTGAAAGTATACTTAACGAAAGGGACAGTAAGAACACTAAGAACGTAATTAGATCCGCTGAAAACATTTTAAACGAATTTTTAGTGCATACATGTGATACTTCTCTGTCGGAATTACGCTTAAAGCCAAATGAAGAGATCTGTAATGTTCTTCGAAAATTCTACTGTGGGGTACGAAAACAAGATGGATCAATGTACGCAAAGTCTTCGATGATATCCATGAGGTTTGGTCTTCAGAAGTCGTTCATGAAATCAAATGATATTGACATTGTTAACAATGAAGAATTCAGTCGTGCTAATGTGGTGTTTTCGGCTTGTCTCGTGAAAATTAAGAGAGAGGGGACTGGAGAAGTAAAGCATAAAGAAATCATCAGTGACGGAGACATGAAAAAACTGTATGACTGTGGCGTTTTCAATGTTGATAACCCCAAGACTTTACAATGGAAGGTTTTTTTTTGAAATTATGTTACATTTTTGTAACAGAGGACGAGAGAACTTAAGAAACATGGAAAAAGATGATTATATCATTAATGTAGATGCGGATGGGAGGCGCTTTGTTGTGAATAACATATCACGACTAACGAAGAACCACAGGGGAGACTCTGGGGATGATGACACTAATGCTGCCCGCATGTACGAACAACCAGGTATGTAGATTTCTCTTCTTATAATTTCAAATATTGAAAAAAAAATATTTGAGTCAAACAATTTGGAAAAAAAACCCATAAATTAACAAGCTATGTTTCTTTAATTATCATTTAGGAAACCCAAATTGTCCGGTGGCTAGTTTTGAAAAATATATTCAAAAACTGAATCCAGAATGCAAGTCGCTGTGGCAAAGACCAAAATCACTGCCAGCATCATTTGACCCTGACAACCTTGACCTGTGGTATGACAATATGGTGGTGGGGAAAAATACACTTGGAAAATTTATGCAGTTAATCAGCAAAGAGGCCAAACTTGCCACAGCATACACTAATCATTCTATAAGAGCAACATGTATTACAATCTTGGACGAATCGGGGTACGAATCGAGACATATAATGGGGATATCAAAGCATAAATCTGAGACAAGTTTGAAACACTATTCTTCTAAATTGAGTGAAAAACGTAAGAGAGATATGTCAGATACTTTGAGCAGGAAAATACATGTGTCAAAATTTCATGGTTCAGAAGTATTTCAATCAAGGTCCTCATCATCAAGTGTTCAGTCAATCACATATTCTCATGGATCATCATCTATGTCTCTTCAACCAACCTCAAATGCAGCCCCCGGGGCTTTCAACGAAATAGTGCAACCAGTTTCCGAATCCACTGACTGGCTTGGTGATGTTGATGATGACGCACTTGCAGCAGTGTTAAATGACCCTACGATCTTTGCAAATATTCAGGAAATTCCAAAGTCTTCAGTGTCCACTGTAACGCCTTATAACTTTCATGGCTGTACTGTTACAATTAACAATTATTCATCCAATACAGGGGGTCAGTCATAGATATCTGTGATTTACTTTCTGTGATAAACGGTTGTGATATCCAATGTGTTAACTAAACTGTGATTAACGAAATTTATTATTTCTGTTATTTAATTATTAATTTCTCTGTTAAAATTATAACATAGTTAATATTTTTATTGTTTGTTAAAGTTTTTTTTAATTGTTGAAGCCAAAAAGTGCAAATGAATTTATTGTTAAAAATATTTGTTGATTAAATCAGTTCTTAAGTCTTCACATTGTGTTTTAATATGTATATATCTTATGTGAAGGGTATAACAAAACAGTTATAGACTGGGATTCGGGCAACATATGATTTGTTGGACCTGAAGGTGAAAATGTTGCCCTCGGCCTGCGGCCTCGGGCAACATTTTCACCTTCAGGTCCAACAAATCATATGTTGCCCTCATACCCAGTCAATAACTGTATAATATGAAAGACACCACTCCTCCAAGGCACCCGATCTTACCTCTGGAATTGTTTAGAGACTGAGTTTTATGCCCTATTCACAGATCACTTCTTTAAATTCTAAAAAAAAAAAAAACACGCAAACATCTTTTAAAAATAAAATAAAATCGACACTTTGTCATAAATTCTTATCTCAAACATGAGAAATTAAACATATTTCAGACATTTGAATGTATGCATTTTTCCAGATGCATTTCCGCCATCAAAATCACAATCCGCCAAAACATGTCCGTATAATGAAACTGAGTGGACGGAGAGATCGAAAGAATTTTTTTGTCAGGGGAAGGAAGTTTACCACTGTTTTCTTGCTGAAGACAAAGTATCCGTCAAAGAAAAATGTGTAGAAAAAACAACGATGCTTAAAGGTACTAATACAATAATAGAAATCCCATAATACATGATTTAAAAAATTTTATTTGTACCAGATATTTTATTTTCTATGAGGTGAATTTTCAACAACAAAAAATTGTTTTAAATTTGCAGGTTTTTGTCCAATATTCACAGACTTTGGTTATTTACACTGGAGTCCATGCAATAGAACAGGGTGTCCCAACTCAACCTACACAAGTGATAAAGTTTACAAATGTACAAACACTAAGTAATTTAATTTTTTTTCTGTCTGTCATTTATGTAAACCAATAAGAAGAATTTGTATTTTTTCGAATAATTTTTAATCTGGAATGTTGCTAAAAGTTCAGAACTCTTCAAATCAGTTCAAATATTTTTGTAAAATTTTAGAAGAAAGCCAAATTAAAGGTAATTAGCACAATCAAAGAGTTTCAAACTTGTAGTGATATTACATATAATATAAAATTTTATGATTGAAGGTAATTCCACCCTCGCATTTCTAATGGTTAAAAGTACAAAAACTTCATTTATTTTCATTTAATATACTTTAAATTTTCCAACTATTGCAAAAAAAGTAAAGGTCACCATATTATTAAAGATGAGAGACATAAATAAACAGAAGTATATGTCAACAAAAAAATTGCACATTTTTGTAAACAGTATTTAGAAAAATGTGTAAAAACTGGTTAAAATGCATAATTCTGATGCTGAATCTTCCTTAATTAACTTCCTACTTATAAGATACTTTTGAAATGTGAATATCAGGGAAAATTTTTCACGTTTAAAGTACAAGCAAATGACCTGAGAAGGAGTTATTGCCTTTGTCATCATTCTTTAAAGATTGATTACTTTATTACATTTAAAAAATATGCATTTTTTAAAATTCTTTTATTTAACAATATTTACCAGTACACTATTGAAAAGCATTCCTCCAAAAGATATTGTTGTATCAGGTTTGAATTTAAACAAATAACAGTTTTTGCAAAAAAAAAAAATAATAAAAATAAAAAGAAAACAATTACATCACAGGAGGGTGGATTTACCTTAAAATCGACATCAGTGAGTTCTTTTTCCGGTCATTTCTCATTTATCAAAATTGAGCTAATTTTACAGCAATATTCATTTAATCATTCTATCACATTTAAAAACAAAAACGAACCTTACAACTAAAAAAAAATACTTTGCAATAATAAAAGTTTTCTGTTTTGATTTATCACTACGTTTTCACCTAGTATAATTCAATTATTTATTTTTCATTTTAGACCGAGTGTGTTTTGGAGACACAGACAAAGCCATTACCTACACTTCTGGTTTTAGGTGAGTCTAAAGAATATCTTTTTTCAAGTGAATTCAATGAATAATTTTATAAAAGTATATCTCATTTGTTTCTTAGCTTGAAAAGAAAAGCGTAGAACTTAATAAAAATATTCATGATACATGTAATTTAGAAATCTTCTTTAAAGATTGCTTTATCTATGTTACAATCGCACATTTAAAGGTTGAGGGGCAATGTAAAAAAAATCTATACTTCTGTATTCAAAAATCCAGAATTGAAAAAAGTTAGATATAAGCAGTCTCTTTTAAAGTCATCAATTCGTAAGTTCTTTGGTCGATACAATGACCTTGTCGGCAAATATATTTATCATTGAGTCAAATGCTGACTGTCGTATTCAAACTTAGTGTTAGTCCATTATTTATACACTGATTAATTATGAACTGACGATGGATTTTTCTGTTATTTCTCAATCATGACAAGGAGCACACGGCGGAAGTGACCGATCGGCAGGGTATGCTCACTCCTAAATGGCCTCCTATCTTACCTCTGATGTTTTCGAGGTCCGTGTTTGCTCTGCTTCTAATTTGTACTGACTTATGATCCTAAATACTATTCATTATTTCCATTTGTTTCATTTTCTGAGCAACGACTCATTGCAAATGCTTGAAACTTTAGCACTTATGAGGTGGACTTTATACTAGTATTTGCATGAATCTGAGGTCAACTTTTTATTTATCCCTGTATTTGTCTGTAACAGAACTTGTGTTTATTAAAATGAAAGTGTGTATTTACATCAGAGGGGAGGTATAACTAGTGAGCAGACTTCTTAATACTGTATAACTTTGTAAAATATTTTGCATGTAATTTTTAATGAATAGTGATGACGAATCGACATCTGGCGTGGGTCTCGGAATTGGAATTGGGGTCCTAGTAGTGATAATCTTAGTTGCTGTGATAGTTGTTATAGTATGCCGCAAACTTACATTAAAGAGCGACGAAAGTAAGTTATTTTTAACGAGGTCTTGATGACATATTATAAAGTATATGCAGTTTTTATTGATTTCAGAGATGGTTTGAACAATTTTTAATACATTTTATAGATGTCTTAATTGTTATACACTCAACATTTTAAAAATTTTCAATATGATCACATTGCCATGGAAAGTTTCATTTTTCTGAAAAACTTAACAGTCAGTTTCTATGAAACTATGAAAGAAAAATTTGAAATGGTTTGGCAAACTTTCACATTATTGTCACATTAACAAGCAAAGGTGCATTTGAAAAAAATCCTATAAAATAAGTTTAAAGTGCATAATTTTGATAACTAATGGAACTGTTGTCAAGCTCATAAATAGAAATTTGTAAACGTATACTTCTAAAACATCAAAAGAGTAAGTATTTCCTATCGACTGGTCACAACCACCGCTAGCACATTGTCATGCTAATGCAGGCAATTGAGAAAATTCTAGGACAATTCAGAGTGGAAATAATGTAAACATTCGACTCACGCTAAAAAAAAACGATGAGTAAACTTTCAATATATAAAACTTATTCCTTAGTTATATTTCTTCTCCTTGATGAATAAAGTGCCTATTCAGGCTCGTTTAATGTCATTATTTCGCAGATTTTATGGTCAACACAATGGCCTTGTCAGCACATAAAACCAATCATTGAGTTAAATGTTGCCTTTCATTTTTTTGCACTAATTGCCAGTCCATTATTTATACTCTGAACTATCTTCTGATTTTTCCTTTTCTTCGATCATGACAAGGATCACAAAGCCAGTGTTACCGGTCGGCAGGGAATGTTCACTCTTTCATGGCACTTGATCCGACCTCTAGATTGTGAGGTCCTTGTTTGGTGTGCTACAAATTTAAATGTATTTGAGGTCGAGTATATAATGATAAAGGCTAATTGAGAATAAAAAACACAAACATGAAAAGTCGTACATTTTAAACACTTTCAAAGTATGTTAAATGGCAATTTATCTTTGTTTTTCAAGTTGATGACATACAAAATGGGATGAACGTTCTCCGGTCTGAAAACATTCTTTATATAATTGGAAAACTCGGAAATTCTGTTTCCATGGTCTGAAAAAGGATAGTATATGATTTTTCCAACAAGCATAACATGGTTCCTCTTAATTTAAAATACTTGGACATTTCTGAAACTTATGAATTCTCCGATAACACTGTTTATTTCATTGATGGTTGGTTTGGATTATGGAATGATAATCCGTGTGAAAAGGATATCGTTTTGAAAAAGTTTCGTATGATCATTGGGGCAGCCAAGGATAAAGAAAGAAATATTAAGTTTGTTATCGGCCTCCGTACACATGATTCCCGTTCCTATGAAAATGACTTGGAAAAGATTGGGATTTCTTTTCTTCAAAAACAAAAAATAATTCGTGATACCAGCTCAATGCATAAAGACACTCGAGTGAAAACGCATTTAAAGAACGTGACACGGAAATGTACTACTGATAGATGTCCCTGTAAGGCATTACGTTTAGAAGACATAAAGTCCATCGACATAATTGGAGGCCACCTCCTAATTGATCTTTTGGATTTGGATCACACTATGGCACCTCAACTGGTAGATGAAAGCAGAGGGCCACTTCAGACAATGATAGAACATTTCAGAGCATTGGAAAGCAAAGACAAAACTCTGTTTGACTGCATTCTTTATATTGTATTGATTGGTTTCTATGATAAGAGGAAGTTTAGATCTGATGTTGCAGAGCAATTTCAAATTTCAGAAAACGTCCACCAAAAATTCTCAAACCTACATAAATATACAAAAACTCTTAAAGCTGAGGAGATTACACAAATGTGGACTTCAACATTCAGCGGTGATTGTAAAGAAACAAACGAGATTGTTGTCTTTTGGCACACTTTTCTTTACATTTCTGCGTTCCATGCCTGTTACAGTCTATACCCGGAGAAGATGATGCGTTACTGCCACCTTGATGCCATACTTCAACTCGTGCGACCGGAAGGCCATGGCCAAACATCGGTCTTTACCGTAGAGGCAAACAGAGACTTGATTTCAAGCTTTTATGAAGTGAGAATACAAGGAAAGGACTTTGAAGACCATGTAAAAGATCATCCTCTTCTTGTGTATTTACGCGCGCAGTCTACAAAATAAGAACAAAGGTATATGGAGACGAATTTATGTTGAAGTGCAATATTTTACACAATATAAAATAATTATTGTACACAATATAAAATTATTTTTTTTAAAGATATGTCAAAACGAAATCTCAAAGTATGAGAAAAAGAAAATTTAAGAAAAGCGGCAAAACTGTTGATTTTTTTACATAGAACTTCGTAAAAATACTTCTTGTTTATTGCTAAAGAGATATATTAAATCTGACAGAGACTTTAAAACGGTCAACGATTCTTTAAATATGTTGTTAAAATCTATGTACACATCAATGCTTCTAATTTTGCAATCGATTGAAATTACGACTCAACTACACAAATTATGACACTCTGTAATAATAAGACAAAAATATGGAGTATCCTCTATATGTTCTTGAGATTGTCATTTGATTGGCTCTGTGGTTTTGATCACAATATTCTGTTATGGAAGTTCATCAGACCCAATGTTAAGATCTCACCGTCTTTAATCTAGATGTCAAATAACCTAATGATATCATTAATATTTTTGTGAATATTAAAGTTTTTTTCTGAATTAAGAACAATGTTTTATTCCACTGAATTTTTAGTGTAACGTGAAGTACATCTTTTTTGTCTTTGTGTGCCTTTTTTAATTTTTTTTTTATACCAAATTATAACAGTCTATGATATTCTTCGCTCGCTCCGTGATCGGGAGGTCGTGAGTTCGTATCTCGGCCGCGACTGACCCAGTCGATAAAATGGGTAGCAACTGTTCCTTCGCCATGCGCTCAGCACTTTGAAGTGAAAGTTGCGGGTCCTTCGGATGAGACCTTAAAAACCGAGGCCCCGTGTTAGCGGCAGGCGTTGGCACGATAAAGATCCCTCACTGCTCAATGGCCCTGAGTGCCGAGTAAAGGTCAAAATTTGAAGCCCTTCACCGGCATACGGTGACGTCTCCATATGAGTGAAAAATTCTCGAGAGGGACGTTAAACAATATACAATTAATCAATCAATCTTCAATCAAATATAAGGAGTGTTGGGGACAACAAAAAATGTCTACAACTAGAGGTCTTTGGCACATCTACTGAACAAGCAAGGAATGCAAACAAAAACTGTTTCGCGAAGGTTTCTAGTTTAAAAACTAAACCGATTTTTTTGTAAACATACGAATCAAACCCATTTCTTCTGGTGCTTTGAATCCAAGTGATCCTATGCTGGAAGTATCAGAGCCTGGAATTCGTCTTAAGACAAAACAGAAACATGTATGTTATCAAAATATAAGAAATCCAGTTACATGAAAACTGACCAGCGTTCAAAAGGGAAATCGTTTCTTGTACTTTGTTCCGTTCCCGAAGAAACCTTCTTGCCTAGGACTGCATTGTGTACCGGTCGCAAATGCACTACCAATCACTAGGGTCAAAATAAGTCCATCATAAATGTAAAAACTGTTGGGAAACCGTTCATCATGTGCGCTCCTGCAAAACGAACAAGGTTACAAAGTATGCAAACAAGCAGGCTATGAATCAGGCTCGGTGGACTGTCCATCCCAAGAAAAGCAAAATAATAGTCTCATGGCTTTCTGCGGCCATAAAAAGATTTTTCTTGAAATAAGGTCACCACTTGTATATATATACAATGTTGATGGTGTGTTTGTGTTGTATATTATTGCACAAATTTTAATTGCTTTCTACTTACACGTAATACCTAGTACATTGGCATTTTGCAAATAAATAGACACCGGAAATGTTTTCAGTAGTTTTTAATTCATTCCGTCCTGCACCATATGCTATGTATCTCCCCTTGCCGGTTTCTTTATACTTTATAACTTTTGTCATGTAATCATAATTTTTATATTTTCCTTATTTAGTCATTTTTGTTTTGTTAAAACATATATTGTACATATGTTGTCTAATAAAGATTTTGTTTATAAGTCTCATCTCTTATTATTAAAATCAATGCTTACATAAACAACAATCATAATGTGCTGTTGAGTGAAACCATTGATAAACTTATATCGGACCATCACACCACATGACGTCACGGGGTCAGCGGGTCATTTATCCACTTGGTAGCGATAAAGATGGGCCTTCAACGATGCCAGTTTGTGATATTTTATACTTTTATTTCACAAGGTAAAAAATTTTATTTTCAACCTTTCAATTTGAAAAAAAAAATAGTATTATTATATAGGTTTCAATTTTCTTGGAACCCTGGACTGCATTAAAAATTAAGCATTTTTTTCAATACAGTAAGTGATATATTAGTTATATACTATCTTTAATTGAATGATTTGAGAAAGGAATTTTAGATAAAAATTAAATACGAAAATTTATTTAACAGATCCGAAGAGTAAACTTTTCGAAGAGTCAACTTTAAAATAGATATTTTATACAAAAAGAATAGTAATATATTCAATACGCTTAACAAATAAAGGTACCACTTTTATGATATCAAAGTATTTCAGGATAAATACATATAGGAGGAATTCGAATTTGATGTATGGCTTGACATTTATATTTTTGGCTGATTTTGATTAGGGGAAAATAAATCTTTTAAATATAATGAAATCGTTAGTTTTCTTCAGCGTTAATTATGTAACCTTTCGTGGTTTTTTGTATGTAATTCCAAACAAAAATTTCAGCAATTTTTAAACTGTGACAAAATCTCACAAAATTTCCCACCTTTACCTGGCAAACATTGTTTAACCTACCCATTTGAATAGAATGTAGAGATAGCGATATTAATTAAAAAAAAGAAACAAGCAAATTCAAAGAATTGTGGTCCCCCGCTTTCGGTATCTTTGTGGGCAAGATATTATTTTTAGGGTCAAGGTCAATAGGTCAAAGTTTTTGGTATCCCATGAAAGGTCTTGCCATAAAGAATACATATATTTAAAATATGAAAGTCCTAGTTTCTACGGTTCAAAAGTTGTGACCAAGGTTAACGTTTTTAAACAGTAGTTAAAACTCCAAGGTCAAAGGGTCAAAGGTCTTGGTATGCAATGAAAGGTCTTCTCACAAGGATTACATACGTGAAGTACAAAAGCCCTAGCCCTTACCGTTTAAAAGTTATGGTCAAGGTTAAAGTTTTTTCAGAAGTACGTAAATCTCCAAGGTCAAGGTCCAAAGGTCAAAGTTGTTGGTATCCAATGAAAGGTGTTGCCTCAAAGAATACATATGTGAAATATAAAAGTCCTTGTATCTTCCGTTCAAAAGTTGTGACCAAGGTTATAATTCTTAAAAAGTAGTTAAAACTCCAAGGTCAAGGTCAAAAGGTCAAAGTTCTTGGTATCCAATAAAAGGTCTTCTTACAAGAATAACATATGTGAAGTATAAAAGCCGTAGCCCTTACCGTTCAAAAATTATGGTCAAGGATATAGTTTTTTCATAAGTACGTAAATGTCCAAGGTCAAAAGGTCAAAGTTGTTGGTATTCAATGAAAGTTCTTGTCACAAAGAATAAATATGTGAAATATGAAAGTCCTAGTACCTACCATTCAAAAGTTATGGCCAAAGTGAAGGTTTTGAATTTTTTAGTAAAAGTAAATAAAAATCGAAGGTCAAGGTCAAAAGGTCAAATTTGGTGGTACCCAAAGAAAGGTCTTGTCACAAGGAATACACATATGAAATATGAAAATCATAGCTCCACTAAATCAAAAGTTATGGGCAAGGTTAAAGTTTTTGTGACTGAGGACAGACAGCTAGACCGACGGACAGACGGACAGACGAATGAGATTTAATGTCTACTTGCTTTCGCGAAAGCGGGGGACAATAAATATGAGAAATATTGTTGACTTACGAAAAAGGTATTTTATTTTATTTGTTTTATTTATTTATTTTTCAATTTTAAACTTATTATGTATGTAATCGTTACAAAATTTAAATGATTAAAATCTAGTAGCATACTGAGAGAATAGTATAGAAACTGATGGGCTATGTTAGATTTAAAACGATATACCAAGGACCGGATAGGCAACATTTTATGTTTTTTAACTAATCAACAATTTTCAATTACCAATGAGTACTTGATTAATTGGGAATAAAAACAAAACTACAATTTTTCCATTTAGTGCCTAAAAACAGAAAAAGCATGATTTCCGATTAACATAATGTGTTTAATAAGTTTTCTGTGTATGTGTATGGATTTTTAATAAATGTCAAAGTGTAAATCATCAAATAATTTGAGTATAAATCAAACAAATCGGCTGATCAGATGCGGGTGCTGTTTTTTGAAATAAACGAACCAATTACTAATTAGATTAGGAGTAAAAATAGTGACATCAACATATCTTTAATATTTTTTATAGATAGATTAAGGTTTTGATCTGAAATGTTTCATAATTTAGATACTTATTTCAAATTTATCTTTTAAAAAACCTGCAACCTACAAATTATCGCGATACTCTATAAGAATATATATGTCCATGGTCTTAAAGGCAGATATTTTAAGCACCGCCTTCAGAAATACCTGGTCTAGGTAGCCCTGTCAATTAAGTGAGTGAAGGTCCATCATTGGATGCTGGAACTTGATTGACATTTACTTTCTGGTCCCTGTGTATACCCTGTACACCTTGTTTGGGAGCCGTGTGGACCTTCAAATTAACTTCTGTTCCTTTGATGGTTACCGAGCACAGTACAGAGAAACTGTATTACTATTTACTATGAAAATAATTTGATTGATAATATATGGATAAAATATACCTTTAGTATTTGAAAGGATTATACTGGTAATTATGCATATTTTTGAAGAAAAAAAAACCTTTGGTACATAAAACTTTTTTTTTTCTAAATGAAATTTCGATATTTATTTTAATAATGCTAAATGGTAAACCTAAAATGGAATTGTTATTGATTTTTTTTAGATTAAAATATACATGCACTAACATCTAAAATAATCTATGTTTTAATATTTGAATTTATAGTATGATATCAAAAATATTTTAAATGGTATGGGGTTTTTTCAAACATTCAAAAATAAATCATTATAGAATTGAGAAACCTTTTTACCACTAATTTGAAATTGTCCCATAATACCAAACACAGGTAGAGTTTGACATCTGGGTTTTTCACTGTGTATTAAATCACTTCCTGTGTATAGGGATTAGGAGACAGATGACAACAGGTAGACTGATAGCCCCGAAGGCATTCACATCTGTACAGAATTAGCCTCTCCCTTACCTGGAATTTACCACTCTGTAAAAAATCTCTGCCTTTAAATATATTTAAAATTCCACTTTTCCTCTAAATTAGCTTTGTCTGCACCGGATGATTTAAGAACTTACTGCCCCCGGGACATTGCTCTAGATCCACAATACGTCTGGATACATGGTACCTCGTGCCTTCAGATCTCCCTGGACAAGCGTGACTGGCCGCACGCGCGGGAGCGCTGTCAGCGCCATGGAGGGGATCTGGTGCAGATCCGGAATGCTGATATGCAGGGTTCCATCATAGAGAAGATAAGACAAGTCCATCACCACATCAAGGAGGGCTTCTGGATCGGGGCTTCAGATCAACATCATGAGGGGAGGTGGGAGTGGGTGTCAGGTAAGTTACATAAACGTCAGGGATGGGATACTGTGTCAACCAGGATCCCCTGTCTACCTGCCATATTCACAATAAGCCTTGGCTCATTTTTGACCAAGATAAGTCAGAATATAAAGCTTTAAGACACAATGAAATATTGTTTTTTTTAAATAAAGTAAAAATGTATTTTAAAAATATTTGTTAAAATAAAATAATACTCAAGACAATGCTTAACGATAAGTTGTATAGATAAATAAGGTCATTAGAAGGACATAGATTTGAAATATCTATGCTCTTCCTTCGACAGCTGAAAAAAAAGTATATGTTCTTCGGAAAAAAGAACAATATAATAGTTGGCAACTTATTTCTTTTATATTGAAATTGTATGAATCTTTAATTCAAGGTTTCTCTTTAACTTATCTCTTGAACAACTCTCCTACCTTTTGCTTCAGAATGTGTTGTATAACAATAAAATGTGACGAGGTTAACATTGTAGGTGACAAGACGATGACGTATGATAACTGGAGTCCTCACCAGGGTCCCCACCAGACCGGATTTCTGCTGATACCGGGGGGAGGGGCGGAGGACTGCGGACTACTGAAGGTCACAGATCATTACATGTGGCACGACTACCCCTGTCACAGCGGAATAGCCTTCTTCTATCCCTACATTTGTCAGTTTGGTAAGACATTAGTTCGAAATATTCTAAAACAAAACAAACGGTAAAACTTTACGTCATCATTTTTGCATTACTTAACAATGAATTAATTTTTCTATGAATTCAAGATATACCACAAACAACACAAAAACCAGAAACAACACCAACTCTAAAACCAACCTCAGCAGTATCGACAACAAAACTAACAAAAGCAACGACACAATCTACTGCGAAATCAACTACAAAACCAAACTTTACACCAAAAGTCACAGAGCTAGCATCGTCAACAACACTTTCTACAAGTATTAAAAAATCTACAACAGAAGATCTATCGTCAGTTCCAGCAATGACAACAAAGTCCACACTTCTCTCTCTATTAACATCCAAGTACACCATGACTGAGAAAACAAATGGAATCAGTTTAATTCCGAACAAAATCACATCTGAAGGAAGTCCTAAGCTGACCACAGAAGAATTTGAGATACTAGTCACAGAGCAAGGTCAAAGTTTAACCACGACAGCAAAGAGTGAACCAGAGGGCATGATCATTATAGGATAAAGATTGTAGATTTTTTTTTCATCAAAATTTGAAAATATTAAACATCTACACTTTTACTATATTCTTTAGAAAACAATTTCATGCTACAAACAACAAATGAATAAAACATTTTTTTTCTCATCGCTTATTAAAAATGAAATGATCATTATTGAGATACATGGAAAGAAATCCTAAAATAGCAAGCAATTCTAGAGATTATCACTTCTTCCTTTAAATGCTACTACATGTA